ATAGATGTCTAGCTATTGGCGCAGAAGCCATCTGAGGCAACACAAATCGGCATTGCTGACGATGAATGAGAAAATCGCACCAAGACAGTGAACCACGCTTACACACCCACACAGCAAAGTGGAGAAAAACTCGTTGATTGGTTGCATCAACGGTTCAGAAATAGTCTGTAACTCACCTCAAACTTCATCTTATTAACATTGACAGCAGCTCTAAATTGATAGGTCGATTGCGCAAAGGCATCTGCGCTCGTGCCCTTCCGTTTGGCCTTCACCTCTTCTGTTACCAGGAGCATACGGTCGAAGAGGAAGAGCCGCGAGACAACAAACTTCTGACCCCCAGGGAGTAACGGCGGTGGTGGCTGCGCCTGGAATACTTCTCCCACCTCCAAAGAGCTTCGGCTTTTCTGATGAGGTGGTGGAGGCGGTGGTGGCATAGGAGCAGTTGAAGCGTTCGGCAAGGATGACGCAGGTTCGTTGGTAGTGAAATTCACTGGACCAATGTCGGTGGGTGCAGCAACGGTGGTAGTAACAGTGGTGGTAATGTTAGTGGAAGCAGACACTTCGCCTTCCTCTTCAGGTGTGGAGGAGGACTGAAGATGTAGTTTTGTGAGGAGAGAGAGACCAGAGGAGTTTCGGGAGGCTGGATTGGAGGGAAGAACGTTGAGGGCTTTGGCGTAAGAGCGCAGGGCTTCAGCCAATTCTGAGCGAGACAGCGAGGCGACCAGAAGGTCTCCACGAATACGTAGCGTTCCCAAAGCAGTTATCACCCCTGGAAACCCGTCAATTCGGGCCGCCTGTGGGTCAAAAAAAAGGAAACTAGAGTAACTTCTAAACGCCTTAAATTGGATGCTTTTAATACTCATGCTACTTTCCTTTAGATTCCTCAAGATAACAATGGATTGTTCTGCTGGTTAATGGCTTTTGATAAAAGCGCCGTTCTGAGGGCGACTTCGACCTATCTGTATTGGAGCATAAACATGACCATAGAGCAGAGCAGCTGGTTGGATTAGAAAAACAGATAATGCAAAAATAACCTGATATTTATTGTCATTTGATAGCTGGTTGTAGAGCTACTAAGACGTTTTCTTCTACATGAAAACCAATTTTTCACCACCGCCTCTGCTAAACATCACCAAAAAACGGTTTTATCAAGTTATGATCCAATTGCTAAGATATACTTCCGCATGGGGAAAAAATAATCCAGGTTCCAAATTAATCAGCAAGCGACTTCTGGGTAAGGCACTAACATTGGTCTTTATTCACACGCAATAAAAATTGTAAGAGACTTTTTAAGTATTGGAACGGGAAAAGAAACGGTTTGCAAAAGGAACTCGATTCTATTGCATAGACTGTAAACAATATTCCCTTATATGAGAAGTCAAATGGAGCTAAGCCACATCAAAGGATTGACTTTATTACCCCCTACAAGTTGGGAAGACAATGTGACAGTCTGTAACGAATAATGGACCGATCGTTCTCGCCATCCAAGAGCCACATTATGGAAAAACAATCCAGCTCATTTGTCCACGGCTAAGATGGGGTGAAAACGCCCTCCTGGTGATTAAGATGACGCTTTTCCGAACTGATTGATCTTCTACTGCATAAATGCAGTTTCATGAACCCCCACATCTTTATAACTGCATGACAAGGCCTGTTTAAATCCTCCACTAGATTGCCTACCTTGGAAGAAGGAAAGGAAAGGAAGGCTATGAAGCATAAAGTCGACTTTCAGTTCTACCCACCCAAGAGAAACCGTGGGAAACGCGTAATTCTTTTGCAACACAAACAAGCATACACAGTAACTGCTCTTGTCATCAGGGTTTCACCATGCCAAAATAGGTACTGGTGTCAAGTGAATTTATCAAATGGGAATAGAAGGGGAGCCTAAAACTATATGAACTCGTACCAGTACCAAATATATATCACGTTGCCAAGTAACAGCCAAATGGATTCTTTTCTTGTGAAATATGTTAATATTAGGATAAGATAGTCTCCTCGATCAGTATCAATATTTTTATCTATGGAAAACAACCAACTTAACTAACTAACTGAAAGGAATGGGTGGAAATCCAACAATATTCAGAAATGATTCATTGCCAACATGAGTAGCATTTTCGCCGCTTGCGCAACCAGCGTCCAAGGAGAGTGTCGCAAAGTGGTGGGAATTGTTTGATTGTTTTGTTTCTGATTAGCATTACCTCAACATTTCAATACTTTTACACGTTTTCTTGAGATACTGGTAATGAGAGTTAATGAAGAGGTTTGCACCGTTCCAACAAATAGCCATGGAATATCCTGAGAATTGTTTTTTTCTTTGATTGAATACTGAGTATCACTTAACGTAGGCCAGATATGGGAGCTTCCAGTATCCTGATGCCAACAAAGACTGCAACGGTACTCTGAAAAGTACCATAAATACCCGTCTACACCAAATCAAATCTCGTGTGCAGAAGTAAATGTGTGTAGAAAGTAACTCTAACCCATTTCCCTTTAAGTTTAACATTATATTGTGCTAAATATGCACTCAAAAACGAAGACTCCACATAGGATTAGGAGCAACAACTTTGATTCCTTTCTTTGTGCCACGCCTATCACATGCATAAACACACACATGACTAAAAAAATGGCGCACATTCCAGAATATTCACATGAGAGTAGAAAGGGTCGAAGCAGCACCATCACATACACAAAAATACGGTGCCAATTCCTTTGAGCTCATGCTAGCTAGCGAGTTCCATCGTAATCTCTGACATAAGTCAAATATCGACTCACAAAAGGAAATGCTCGACTTAGGGCTCTGTTTTCCAAAAACCCTTTGCTTCAAAAAACTACGGTCGTCTTCAGGTCAAGGAGATTTTACACTTACAAACTCCAACCAATACGTTTGGGCCGCACAATCTGGCACAACATCTTCCAGAAGGTGACAAATGATTACATAGCTCGCACATCCGTGATGCTGGCAGGGAGACCGTTAAAAGTAATGCCTATTATAATGCATTTTTTCATGTTTTTACAAATTACGCTGGAGATCAAAGCAAGCGGTGGTGAACAATCAATGAGGTTCGGTGATGATTGCAAATCAAATCAACAACAAATTGTGCCATTTTCAATAATTGAAGCAAGCGGGCTTTGGAAATGCTAATTGACATTTCAGCATTTGTGACACTAATGAATCTGACGTCTTGTTCCAAGACGTACCACAACTACGATCGACTGACAATCCAGAGCCTGAAGTTTCTCAAAGTACCAAATGTCTGGAACAAATGATGCCAAATTTGAGGTTGCGTCTTAAAAGGACCATGCTTCCAAAATTATTTGCTCCGAACCGGTTGGTTGCAGCTGACTCAGAGTGGGGAATAGAGTGGATCACTATTGTATCCTGCTTAGCGGAATACAAGTGCAAGCATCAGCATGCCACTTTCTGCCAATTGTCTCGACGGGGAGAGGGTGGACATTTCTTGTGGCGTTTGTAATTGCCACCAAAAGTTCGTTGAAAGAACATGGAATTTCAACACAATAACATCTTCAAAGATCAACTTCATTCAACCTTAAGAAAGGTGGGTAATCCTTAGGTCCAATGGGCCATTAACAAGGTCAATTATATTCCACCAGTCATCAATATCCGGACAGTGTGACCTCTTAAGGACAAATGGACTTTTCACCGAATACGAGTTGCTACCCCTTCTCTTTTCCGAAAGGCAAGAGCCAAAATAAATTGTTTATGCAGACATAAAAATCACTAGTATTGCCACGTTAGAGTGCACTGTGTTATGCAAGATGTGGTACAAAGTTCTCAAGAAGGTGGAGACCTAAATTGGATTAAATGGTGCCCATTTGAATACTGCTTGACCCTAACAAAAAAAACTACACCAACATCTTAATAGATTCCCTTGCATAAAGAACAGCCCTCCACATTTCGATAGATAAATACTACCGGCTTTGCCTACCATAAGAGCAGTCGAAAGGCCTGCTGTCAGAAGGACGGGATTACTTAACGATATTACTAGATAAGGAATTAGCTTAATGGTGATTCCAGCTTCAAAATGTGGTCTGCCAGACCTCTGCATTGACGCCACCTGTGCCAGTAGCACCACTCCTTCCCAGAAGAAAACTTGCTTTGAGACTTGTTAAAAAACAACATGGGGAGGAGGAGTGACTACCTATGATGTGTGTAATGGACTTAGTCAACTCCGACCTCCCTGTAATCATTTTATTTCCCGCCAACCAAATCGATTTGAACAGATTTGAAAGAGGAATCGACAATTTCGGAGTGACAAATTAAAAAAAAA